AGGACTGGAGTTGAGGTTAAACTTCCTACGACAGGCGCGTACTGCGAGTCTTTCTACTCAGCTAAGTGTGGCTGAAGGGTTCTATATAACGTACTCTGACTTTCCAAAACATTTCTCCTTACCAGTTGTTGTTAAGAGAGCAGCTGCATACCGTCCAGACTACACGTTGATATCCTCTGCAAAATCCAAGCTCCCAATAACGACGGTTAGTCTCTACTCCAGTTGGTGCAAATAAGTTAGGTTCCCAGTGTATGAAAAAAGGTGGAGTAGGAACTTGACGGTTAACGGAAAGAAACAAAACAACAAAAAACAACAACACCAAAACATCACATGTATAAGGAAAAGAAAAGTGCAACACCCTCATCTGAGTCCTACTGGAGAAGAAGGTGGAAAGCGGCGCATGATAATAATAATAATAATAATAATAATAACAATAACAACAATGGGTCACTTCAAGGTTGATGAGGGGGGGGTAAATGTTGTCATACTGTATTAAATGCTATAATACACTTAGTATATACGTACTGATTTTCTCATTTCTGATGTCGTTAAACTGCTGAAAAGAGACAGCTTTTATCAATTTGTCTCGATATCTTGGTTCTTTTGGCTCAAATAGCTTTTTGTAACATTTGTAATTTTTGCTGAATGAAGAAGGCAGTGATTTATGTGTTCTGATCCTAAAGGTGCTGTGTGATCAGATGGAGTCTATTCTGTTGATTTCCCAACAGATTATTCATTCAATTATTTCGGATTACATCTACAATTTAGCAGTTATATGTATTTGCGTATAAGAATACGTTTATAAGCATCCATTGTGTCGAGGAATCAGAGACCTTCGATTGTCAGCTGAAAGAAATCAAAATTAAACTGCTATTTTTTCTTTTTCGATATCTCTTACAGCAGTACCCAAGACTTGAAAGCATGCAAGGTCATATTCGGTGTCCGCACTTTCCACTACTGAGGTAAAACTGTGTTACCATTGCCCTTGTTAAACATGAAATCTGTGCAGAGAGGCGAGATGGATGACCTTTCTGTTCTTTTTCTGACAAGAAACAATCGGACCTTACTTGCAGTTACAACCAGCTTCACACCAACATTGACAATTATTTAATTTCCTCACTTTCAAGCCTTTGTAACCCCCATGTTTTTGGGATTGGTTTAAAACCAGAACAGCTTTTTTATTGTTACAGTTGAAATTAACAACAAAAACAATAAAACACATTGAGATATGTTTAAAAAACACTTCATATTTTTCTCATATCTACTCTATAAAAGACCTGCTACATTCATAGGACACAGGAAATGGATCATTCTAGGTGGAAATATCATGCAAGTATAAGTAGATGTTGTTATTGCCTCCATTGTATGATACATTTTGCTTCTTTAAAAAGGTTCCCTGCTACCACACACACCGATGCAGAATCCCAAACAATGAAACCAGCTCATTATGCTCTCAGATACATATGCACTCGCCCACTGCATTGCTCTCTCTTTTCACTGGTGGTATTCCCAATCTCCCTGTGAATAGCTTCCTGTCTCCCTGGATGTGCGACAACACTCAGTAACACAATGATGGCAGTAAACCGGCACAAAGCACACACGCACACACACAAACCAAACGTTTGGAAATGTGGCCAATTTCAGGAAGAATATGTTCCCTCATAATGATGGGAAACAACACAACACTTGGGACCAACTGTTCTACAGGACAATACCAGAGGAGAAGTTAGCCAATACTGCAGTTTGTACTACACATTATAAAAAAAAGCAGGCCATGAATATGTTACATTTAATCAATGATAAGTATCATGAGAGGAAATTAAGGGTGCTGGTTAATTAATGGTGTCTGGCAGCATGTTGGCTCATTAGTCAGCAAAGTCACCTCACAGCTAGACCGTACTGGGTTTGATCTTAGCCGTGGTTCTTCTCCCCATGTTCACCTGCGTCCGTCCCCCCCCCCACCCACCCCCTCACTTCTGTGGTTTCCTCATGCAGTTAAAACACATGCAGGTCAGGTGAATGTAACACTCTAAAATTGCCTTGTGTGTTAGCGCGGATGTGTTTGTGGATGTGTTGGCCCTCCAGCGAGCGAGGCAGTGACCTGCACACGGTGTTCTCGTGTCTTTCTTCTAATGCTGCACTCGTCCTTTAACCCTTATTAACAATAAAGGGGCATAGATGAGTGGTTGATTAAGTACTCGAGTGAAAAGACTAATGATTAAAAAGCTTGAATATATCAACCTGTAAATCCTACTATTACAGAAGCCCAAATAAAAATGCATTTGGAAATAAAAGGTCAATATGGAGTTGCAGACAGGGTGGGAGAGCTGTTCTTTTCTCATTATATATTATCAATTTAAACAATTATATTACGTAATATAGACAATTGGATAATGTTAGTCATATAGGATAATCTTATGGGCACCAGTTATAAAAATAGACCTCCTTTTATGTCCATCTTTGTGTTTTGTTTTGACACATGTACACACACATACACACACATAGTTAAGTACAATAGGGGCATATTGTTCCAAATGCTATGCTAATGTCTAGTGACTACATCTTTAATCAGTTATTAATTGGTATTAACTGTTTGCTCATAAAGGTCTTTACTGTTAATAGTATTTACGTACAAAGTGTGATAGCGACTGACAGGTATGTGTTGACATGCTAATGGCTGCACCCATGTTAATTGCTAAACACTTCAGCTGACTATTAACAGTTTCAAGGACCCATGAGTCCTTGGGATCTTTAATTAAACAAGTGTTGACGTTTATTCCTGTATTTGCTCATTTAGCATTGAGGATTGTGACGGCATCCAAGAGGCTTGTTCAAAGCTTACAGTATGTTTGGGCCATTTAGTGTCATAGCTTTTATGATTACAGGCGCTGTGCTTTGGTTGGCATCTGCTGTTTTGAATGTTCAAAGATTTTGCGTACAGTATGAGCAAATGAAGCCTTAACTTCGTCTCTGATGGATAGCTCAATATTGGCTCAAACATAAAATAAATACAGTGATAATTACCTCAAAGCCTGAAATTATGAAAACATAAGCATTTGGTTTAGCATTTAAAGCTGGTTGACTGTATACCAAAGACATACATATCTAGCTTCTGGTCTAAATGTAGGACAATGTAAACGATGTATTTTACTGATGTATGTGTAAAACATACTTCCAAATGTGATTACCTCATTGCACACAGAATAAAAACTGTAATATAATATAAAACGTCTTAAAACAGATTATTATTGACATAAGTGAGAACACCAGTGCCCTCTAACATACAGTATATAACTATTGTTATCTATTGAAATATCAAGCAATACACATCAGGTACACATATTTCCCCATACTGTATATGTATCCCCTTTGGGAACAAAACCCTGGATATATGTATTCATAGAGCAACACATACTACACTCGGCTTCACACACACCCTAGACACAGTATTCCTTCTCGGAGCATACTAAAGATAAAGCTTGCCTCGGTGACTTGTCTCACACACACAGACTCTGAATTAGAGCTTCCATTCGTCACTCAGACTGATTCATGCAGTCTTCATTGGTATCTTAATGAGGTATTTAACTCACTATTTGTAACTAACAATAACGTGGCAAATAATTGTTTCCTCAAATACTCCGCCTCCTAGTAATCCATTATGTAGAAAGAGTGTTTATGTCTTACGCTGACATGCTGTGCTAATAGTAAATGTATGTATTGTTATATTCCATATTGCTTTTCACCACTGAATGCGTTAATGTATCCTCAACAATTTTGACTGCATTGCAGGATCCAAACCCTAAGATTCTTATTATCAAACAATCGCATATTGCTTATTTATGGCAGCTGGAACGTTAAGAGATGGAAGGAACAGATGACGCACGTTTCAAGCGCACTTAATATCAAGTGTTTGTCCAACAAAGAGCCAAAGCCAGTCTCGAACAGACTGCTCTCAAGCCTCACCATATTCAACGTTATTAAATTAAAACAAAAATGGAGATCATGACGAGAAACATGTTATTATCAAAAACCCCAATCACATCTTCATATTGCAAAATCATCAATCGTCGGTGACATTGTTTTAAGTGGCACAGCGATTAGACAAATGTTTCACGCGTGTACAACTTCACCAGATGATGATATATTATCATATAAATTGAATTTGGGCTTCTAATGTTTGAGTCCATAATGGGAAAGGCTGTTTTGATTATGTTATTTCTCTCTCTGACTCGCTGTCCACATTGAATCTGCATCCAGCTCCATCACAGCTGAGAGGCATTCTTATTTATTTGATACGATTAGTAGTACTCATGCAGCCCTATAATGTTGTGATATCTCCTCTGTCAGAGGACTGTCAGGTAACAACACATTTGTAAAATCTAATTTTATGCTCAAGTGGTTCTGCTTCTGCAATTTATCGCAGCTATCGCTCACCCTCTCCCCTGCTCGCTCTTGCTTGCTTCCCCTCACTCCCTCTCCCGCTCCAGTCTCCACCCTCTCTTCCCAGCTTAGTGAGGTGTTTTGATCTCATTATCATTCCCAAACATTCACACCGGATAATCTGTCAGGGCGGGAGCCTGTGCTCTGCAGCGTACAGGGCACCCCGGTCATGATTAGGGGTGTCGGGGCGTGCTTGCAATGAAAATCCCTTTTTTTTCTTTTTCTTTTAAACCAAACTAGAAGTAATGAGTATATATTTCTCCCTGCAGCTATAAAACTTGGCCGCGTCAATTAGATCCTTTAGTGAGGAGAAACTGCCTCGTACTGTATGAGGACAATCGTGGTACAACCCAGCGAGGACACTGAATTGATTAGCCAAAGCGAGCAGCGGGACTATGCCCTTTTACAAACCACAAATCCTTTCCAGAAACACTGCACAATGCACAGTGAACCTCCATTAGACAATCCCTTTCCACAAAGCACCATACAAACAGCCTCCTCCCTCGTCTGCGGCCTATTGTTGTCAGGGAGGTAAAACCTTCCCTTTGCCAAATCCTCACCTCACCGCCAGTTCAATCAAAGGCTCTGCCAGGAAATCGGGGAGCAACACAATGGGAGCTAATGCCAGGTGGAAGGGGGCTCTGAGCTGTGCCAAGCTACCTGTGTCCATCACCATCCTCACCCCATCCATCTCCTCACCCGCTGCCACCTCTCTTTGTCCACATATGGTGGCAGAAAATATGCAGAGCTGCAGTCTTGGCATCGTGGGACACAAAGGTTGGCAACAGCAGGAAAATGCTCCACAATGTGCATATACAACAGCTTCAGAAGGTGTGTGTGTGTGTGTGTGTGTGTGTGTGTGTGTGTGTGTGTGTGTGTGTGTGTGTGTGTGTGTGTGTGTGTTATGTCTTGTTGAATAGCCATGCCTCTAAATGTATGTAAAATACAACTAAACCCACGTTTTGTGATATATATTTTTAACTCACATTCCCCACATGGATATAAATACTATGATTGAAAAGTCTAACCTGGCTAATTAACTCTGAAACAAGCTATTTAACCTTTCTGAAATATGATATTGTGCCTTGACGATACTCGTTCATGTGTACCAGATGTGAAGCCTTGTGCTTTGTGTGCCGTTGGCCACGTATACCCTCTATCGCTATCCCCACATTCATCCATGTGGGAAAATTGCAGTACTCCTCAAACATTGCTGTTAAAAAAAACTGGAATTGACCTTGTAACAGTTAACTTTTAAATGGTAATTGAATACTAAAGCACGTAGCGCAGACACTTCCTGGCTCTTTACTGAACACTTTGTGCTGAAACTTTCAAGGACTATGAAAAGGAAGAGAGGTTGTTTTTCATTGGCTAAGAAAAGAAAAAAGTATTGATGCATGACACAACAAAATGTATGAAACAAAAGTGGACCATAATCATATTAAAGGTCAACAACAGTTTGTTTTCAACACTGAAAGACTTTATATAACATTTTTAACCCGGCAACGTGAACAGTCAAACCGTGGTTACATCCATGAGCCGGACCATAAACAAATGATAGCCTTTGCAGCAGTATTTTGTTTATGATTGATCTGAAAATATAGGTTTGTCGACCAACACATGACTATATTTGTTTTCCACAGTCAGACCCCCAAGTGGGCTCTCTCTGCGAGGCAAGCAAACACAGGTATTTCTGCAAGCATCTCAGCTGCTGGTGCAGTTGAGGCCGTGTTCAAACAGACAACGCTGTGTGGAGAAATGCATTCTTCATTCCAGTGAGACCGCTGCGTAGACACAGCAGGGGTGCCAACTCAGAGGGATTTGGAGTTGAAAAACTATAGGTTTTTGGGACATAAAGTAGAACCTGGCTCCACTTTTTTTCCGCAGTGTTAAGCGAGAACATATGGCAAAGCAGGCACACGCTTTACCTGATGATCCAGACGGAGGGTTTGCTGTGATTAATCTACAGAATTGTATCATCTTTCCTCACAGTTTGGATTTAGATAAGCCTTTACTTTAATGAATCTACTTAAATTGGCTTGTGTTGCATCTCATTGTCTAACTGCTACTTGCAATAACACCCTCCCCGACCAACGCAGCATTGTCTCGCTTAATGTGGGGCTTATTTCAGTCTGAGAGCCCGTTAACCTGTCACTCTTAGTTGAATATAATCACTGTTTCTCACAATACTCCTACTGCCTTCAGAAGATTTGTGTCGTTTTATCTTTGAATGGTGTTTGAAGCAGTTGGCAAATACTGAAAGTTTATAGTTACTAAAAAAAAAAAAAAAAAATTGAAGAGCTTTTTTAAAGTCCTTTCATCGCTGTATGTTACATTTTATGTTGCAATCAATATAATGTGAGGAGTGCGAACAGCAGCGCTGAAGAATGAGTGTAATAGCCTTTCCCCTCAAGGCCTCAGCGTACAGTTTTATGTTCTTATTCTTTGTGACGGGTCACTTGGTAACTCCGGGGCTTCATTTTCATTAGATGCACTTTGGAAAGGCCTTGTAATGTTACTGTCACAAACCTGTTGCAGAACAATTGACTTATCCTGAGGGTTAGGACACCACAGTTGGATGCATAAAGTGGAAGGTCAGATAACTACTCTGGGTCACTAAAAATTGTGCAGTGTAATTGACATTGATTCTTAGAACTAAAGGTTCAATTAATATCAAGGCCTGTGTTTATCCCTGCAAGCTGCTTCAAAGTCCATAATAAAATGGAAACGGCATTGTTTAATTTAGGACACGTTATCACCGTGCAGTTTTGACAACCACTTAGTTGCTTTAATGCTTAACATAATTAGAACAAGATTTTGACTTAGCTAGGTATAAAACTCTTTTGACAGAGCTATTATCGTCCCCCACCCATAGAAATGAGTGTCTTTCGCCACGGGCAAAATGAAAACAGGATGTACGTTTTATTGTTATGATCTCCTGCCTCACTTTCCTAAAAGGCTAGACAGGCTTTTACCGCATTTTTAACAACATGACAGAAAAAATGCACAAAGGGCTTGTGTGTGAACCAAATAATGTCAAAGAGGAAGAAACATTAGTTATAATGAAGGCTAATTATAAAAATAGGAAATACAGAAAACATATGTCATAGAGATGAATAAGGGCCTTCAGAGGTTGACAGGGGTCTGAAGACAAGTCACCCTGTTTTTCAAAGTCATTGCAGCCGCCGCTATATATAAATCTGCCCCACTTATTACTGGACGGACCACACATGCAAAGTTAATGCAGACAAATGAGAGGGAGGTGTGGGTCAGATCATTGGGGACACCTCTGGCTAGTTTCTGGGACAGGAGGCACTCAAATGGAAATTCACCGTGTCCGCGAGAGCGTTCACATCCTCTGGAACAAGACCAATCTTAAAACATCTGAATTGAAGCCCTGGGCGCTCATTTCAAACCACATTTTCTGGTGGTATGAGGAGGGAGATTATTCCCCTCAGGGCACGTAGAAGGAGCCATGTACTCATGAGGATTAGCAGAGAGCACGGAGCGATGAATGTGAGGGCCCAGTCAACCGAGGGATATTAACTGATACCTTCTGAACGAATTTTCGACATTTAGAGAATCTAAATTTAAGTCACTACAGGTAGCCTTTTTTTCATTTTAGGAGCCTGCAGTAAAATATATCATATTAAAAAAAAAAGCCCGAGAGTGCGTAAAGGAAATTATGAGTTTCAAAGAACCTTCCCTGATGACTGTATGCAAATCAACGTGTTTGACTGCACGGACTTGATTGACAGCCTACACGAAGCCTCCCTTGTAAACACACTATCCATAGACAGTTTCATGAAACAGATAAGGCAAGATAGGTCTATATTTGAATAACACAGACATACAAGTACTATTTTTTTGTTTCTACAATCAAACCCACTTGCTAAGAACACTAACCAATCTCCAGCTTAAAAACCCTCTCGGGGATGAGAAGACTAAACGACATAAGATTTTGTTAGGAAGCTGTTGCGTTCACATCGTGTCCTGGATTAGCGCCATTTATTGTAGTTTGAAGAACAAAATTCACAGAGCTTATATTTGACTTCCTTTTCCAAACATGGCTTGGCTATTGTAGGTTTATAATAAAAGCTGCCTGTTTTATCACAGAGCACAAGCATTATTCCTAAGCACTTTGCATCGTCTTTTCAAAGCCGATTAGAGCAACGAGAAGGAGGCCAGCTCATCCTTGCAAAGGCAAGATATTTACATTCCGGTGCCATGTGCAGTGAATTTAAATTTGTCTGCTACGATTTAACACGCCGGGTTCCTAGTAGTTTCACACATGAGCGCTTAATGGCTTCGTTAACATCCTGAGGGACTTTCCTCATTACCTGATCTGGTCAGCTCTGACAGGTGCAACGAGTCTCATCTCTGATCTTTGTTCTTAGTGCCAAGTTCCCCCACACCATCGATCGCGGTGAAATAGAAATCAAAGAAACACATGTGAGTCAAAAAGCCAGAGCACAAAACGAAAAGTCAGGAAGGGAGTAAGGGAGTAATTCTAATGAGATCAGTGCCCTTGACAGAAATATACGGCCCAAAGTTAAATATCTAAATTATTCCCGTATTTCCTCTTTGAGTATCTTTGGACGCAGACCAAGAACACCATTAGGCCATTTTAAACAAACCCATTAAGCCTGTGTCTCATTCCACAGGCACAGATCGTCCCAACGCAATGCTTTGGAAAAAGCTTAAGATTTGTATTTGTTTTCCTCTATTTAATACACCAAAAACATTTGATTGCCGGCTGTATGTGTCCTTGAGACTGAGAAGCTGTAGTATATAATTTGCAGTCTCCTAGCGTGCCATGTATTTATCTGTACATGGAATGGAAACGCCCTTCCGAGATCAAATTTAAAATATTTTAATAAAACATCACATATAAAATGCTAGCCTGAAGGTCACTGAAGTTATGTAGGATTGAGAAAGTTCATCTTCCTTTACACTTGTTTCAAGGCATCTCCTTGCTTCAAAATGAGCAACGTTCAAGATCATACTCTCATAAAACCTTTCTTTGCCATAGTGTTACGTGCCGTAGTGGGTGCTGGTGTGTGTGTCTTTCGCTCTCTCCCTCTATATTGTCTCCAGGTGCAGCTTCTCCTCCAGGTGCTCCCAATCACCAATCAGGGCCTCCATAAAGGACCTGAGAAAAGCTGCAGTCGCTCTCCCCTTCTCCTCTGGCTTGGTGCTGCATGGGTGCTGCATGGGTGCTGCATAGATACTGCATGGGAGCTGCATGGGAGCTGCATGGGTGCTGCATGGGGTCTATGTCTCTGTGTGGGACCTGATTTTATTTGTATCTTAATTTGCTTTGCAAGTTGGCTGGTGAGCCTGTTTTCTGCTTGTCCATCATTGGTAATTAAACCTCCCTTTGTGGCTTCAGAGGATCAGTTCTCGCTCTTTGTTCTCGTGGTGACTCGAGCAAAGAGTTTGAAATCATCCTCACAGCAGCACTATCTCGACCACTGATACAACTTGTTTTGTTCAGATCACTTCCTGCATACCCCCACTGCTAGCGATGGTCACACGCGCTGCACAGAATAAATTGTCTTTGCTGTTTCTCTTTGATCCCTGACATGGACAGGGCGTCCTGCTGAAGCAGCTCCGTGTGGAGCGCTGACAATCAGCCCACTTGTTGTTGACAGAACACATAACATGTGCACCTTGTGAATCGCCTTTACAACAGACGGTGCATCATGTCTGGTCACTCAGCTGAAAAACACAGTGGAAATACTGACCTGTCTGGAATAATGATTCACAATCACACTTCGGAAAAACTTTAAGACGAGAAACTGTATGTGTGAAAATATCCATGAGTTATAAATAGAGGAGGTTTTTGTTCACAGGGTATTCAAAATGTTTGTTGATGAATTTAAAGTGCTTTCACACCAATTGAGCAAGGTCAAGTAAAGCAATCATTTATGACGAGCAACCTCAAGAGCTTTCATTATTTTTGGTACAAGATAACTTTAATAAACCTGCTCCATTCTATTATTTTTATTTTACAATAAAGCCTGCTAATATTATATTTGTGACCTTGTTAAAGTGCTCACCTAAGGCTGCCCGTAATTTCTGATTATATTATTGCTCGTATTATTCATATGCAAGATATAGTAAATATTGTTTGGAAATGCGTGAAAAGCTCAGGAAATGGAAGGTCAACAGGGTGACAACTATTAACTTTCTGCATTATTTCATTTGTTTCAATCATTTTCTCCATTGATTCATTATGAGTTTGGTCTAAAATGTCAGAAAGTAGTGAGGGGGGGGGGGGAAGTGCAACGTTACAGCACAATCAGGCTGTACTTCTCACTTATTTTTGGTACATGAATTTGCTTCTAGTATCACAAGGCCGTACAAGACATCATAAAAAACTTCATTCCACCCTCTGCAGAGTAATTTATGCTGCCTGAGCTGATGGCATTTTCCTCTGCCAAATGAAAAAGGCAAGAAATCTCAAATGAAGTGGAAAAGGATTGAGGCAAATCTATACCTCATACTAAACTCACCTTCTTGTGCAGTCAAGTCTCACTGCTTTTATCTGGCAGGCCTAATACTATTGATGAAAAAGAATAGAAAATCCCCTTGCTACAAAAGCATTTTGGCTGCTTACCATTTGTGGGAATACACAGTATGAGCATTATGGGAGCAGATTATTTATTTTGAATGAGAGGCAATTCGATACCTTGGGTCCAATGGGAGAAGCTAAATGTGTTCCTGGTGCAAAACAAGCATCCAAGCGGAGACTTGAGAAATCCACTGGGAGGGAAGAGCGACCGAGGTGCTGAATTGAATAATAAGAAAAAAGGACAAAGCCAACAAACTCTAAAACCTCAGAGCTGACAAGTTCATTACCCGCTGAAACCACCTGGCTTTTCTTATGAGGCTTTTACTAATGAAGGTTTCAAAAAATAACTGCACATGCTGCAGTTTCTGTCTGCCCACCACAATGCCTATAGCCTGGTGTCAAACCCAGGTCACCTTTTTAATCCTATATTTCCTCTTTTCACAATCGAGATTTTCTATAACTACTTTTACGTATCAAACTAAGTATGTTTTTCTAAATGTATTTAACTACGGAAGCTGCAGCTTGTCCAGTCCATACAAAATGCATTATGATGAATATGAATTAGCGCTAAATCAAGATTTGTTTAATGATTAAACTGAAAGAATATCAAGAATCTTAAGTAGCAGGATGAGGTTACAGGCACACATATGCAAATGTACAAGACATTTGAATAACAACATACAAGTTGTAATATTTATATACATATATATACTAGGGCCGGGACTCGATTAAAAAAATTAATCTAATTAATTAGAGGCTTTGTAATTAATTAATCGAAATTAATCGCATTTTTAATCACATATAAATATTTGACCTGAGAACAGTGAGAAGCAATTTTTTTCACATGGATTTTAGTATACCATTGAATAATGACTGAATACATAAGCTTAAGCAACAAAACATTGTTTATTTTTTTCAAGG